TCCATTCCTATGGAGCATGTTTTCCTCCCCAGATATGGGCTATCAGCCTAAAGGTATACTGTCTATGATATTCACTGCCTTTTAAAGTCTTGGTAAAGAAGAGTGCTTACGAACACAATGAAATCTCATAAAATATCTGAATCAAAAAATAATCCAACAAACATCTAAAAAGGATGATCTACGGCCTGGTTTATTCAAAAAGTAATTTATGTAGATAATTTATGAGAAATCAGGCAATACCTTAAAACATTGGAAATATTCGTTGTGTGCATGTGGAACTAGATGGAAAATGAGCAAATTTTTAGTAATATCTCCCTATAAGTATTTATGGGGTATTTTCATATTTTCAATAATAGGATTTTCCGATTTATGACTTAATTCTCAACCTTTTTGGTGGTTTATTTCATGTAAAGTATTTTGACAAAATTGTCGCATACAACGTTTTTAAAATTAACTATTTGTGTACCTTTTAATAATTCACCAAATGCTGTTTTCTCTCTTGAGCCATTCCTAAAGGTTTCATAAACTCTCAATTTCATATAATTGTTTGAATTTTTGTTACGGCTCACTAAACTTACAGGCACATAAGTCTATCAGTTGTAGTCATCTGGTAGAAAATCAAGTTTTATTTTAGCATACTCACGTCAAACAAACCAAATCATCCATTGTTCCACTAGGCAATGTGACGTAAAGCCCTGTTGAAAAACTCATCCTTAAATTTAAATGATGGCTTTGGAACGTAAGCCCAGATTACGTGTGCCAAACTGTTCGATAAAATTACGGAAAGGAACTAATTTTAAAAATTATGGTCAAGTAACTTGTGCGTTGTGCAAAGCAATTTTTACAAACGTTTTGGAAAAAACGCAAACCTTTGTCTATTAGTCGTTATTACCAAAACAAATGTTATAACAGAGAAAACAGATTTTATGATCATAGGATGATAAGTATTTTGTACAGAGTATCTGCTTTGAATTAATCACGGCGAAACTAAAAGATACTTGTTCAGTAATAGGGCTAATATACCATCAAAAAACATTGTCTTGTAACCAGCTGAACTGACGTCTTATTTCAGTTGATTTGGAAAATTCTGAAATAACATGCATATAAATTTTTGCAGAAAGATGGTTTCTTTTTAAAGCAAAGTTTCTCAGGTGCAAATTTGTAGATTGCAAGAACAGCAGGATTTATTGGGTCCATTAATTTCAGAAGCGCTCATCAGCTACTATCTCTCATTGCATAACATGAATAACGTAAAAGAAAATACGAAAGTGAATTCATACAGAAAAATCGATAAAAAAGCAAGGTCATAGGAAATGGCCAAGAGGCTAAGCAATTACGTAAGAAAGTTAAAACACTGTGGGCAGCAATAAGTGGGGAAAAACGTCTAAGACAAAAAAGTTGTGAAGGGGCCTGTGTCAATTTGGGAGCCGGATTTTACCAGGGCATGGCTAGGTAGATCACATGCTCCAACTGTTTACAAAGGTCTGGTTTTGACCGCCGTATATAGGTTACCTTCAGGTAACGCAAGAAACGAGTTGTTCGTGCTCAAACAAGTACACGGAGGGAAGTTTTAGGGTCCCCTGAATGGCCTGCATCTGGTAAATGTTCTGTAATGGAGGAACGAGGCGTTCTATGTTCCTGATTGAAAAGCCAACTTAGCAAGTGGCCACCAGTTTAGAAGATTTTGATAAGCTGATATAAAAGGAATCCACCAGTAGACTTTGCAGTATCGGACCCAAATAGTCTGGGACTGCATGCCGTGGCTAATCTTTCACAAATGCGCAAATGCAGTAGAAGCTTATTTGTTCTGCCTCCTACTCTTTTATTTTAGAGGTTCCGGGATAGCAAACGAAAAAAGCTGAGAAAATGTGGTAAATTAACTTATGATGATTATATCAAGATAACTATGTATGTGGGTTACTAAAGGCATAACTTATATATTTAAGTTATTATATTGCCTAAAGAATACCCATGTGCCGCGACAGGTTACTCTTGGTCATATCACCGGAAATATATGTAATTTTTTTTTACCAAAGAACATAGCTACAAATTTGAAAGCAGTAATCAAAATGAGAGAATTTCTTAAAAAGAACAGTCGCTTACGAGCAACGTGCTTTTCCAGTGTGCACTAATTAAATGAGGCATAGTTTGAGGAATGTGCTGGTTTTGAGAAAGTTTCAGCCCCCATGTAAAAATGCATATTTAAACCGGAGAAATATGGTATGAAAATCCGCGCTAATAATGCTAACAAACTGTATTTTATTATACCTGCAAGGCCAATTCATATACAAATAGACTGAAGTTTAACTGAATAGTCTGATGGTATCAAAGTAATCTTAATAGGAGATTTATAATACAGCTTCCTTAATGTTCAGTGCTTAGTTTGTAACTGAACGGCAATCTCCTAAAGAAATTTAGTTTTTTAAAATTTACATTATCAAGCTCAAACGCATGTTTTTCCATGAAATAGGGCCTATTATTGAGGACCTTTGACGTAGTGGTCGAAAAAACAGCAGAAAATGGCTATACTTTTGAAGAAAATACAAGCCAGTGTAGTTAATAATCGAGCAAAACCATAAGTGCCTATATAACAGGAGAATGAAATCAGCCGGGTAAGCAGAATACTCTAATGAGGCACTTGTTGTGGAACATTATTATCAGGGAAAGTTTTTATTTTTATTGAAGACTATGTCCATCATAGGAGATTGATGTGGACATCCATTTTCTGAGGCCTAAATTCACTGATTATGTAAAGAATTACGTATGGTCCAAACGATTATATCTAAAAAAGGATACATAAGTAACCTAATGGCGTACTGCGAAGCAACATTTAGTTGTAATAGTTTGAAAATTTAGATAATTAAGCAACAAATTCCCAGTTTTTGAGAACAGAAATACCGCGCTGAAAAGAAATATTAGGCACTGGCAATTCATGGGCATTTTGACATTTTGTGGAATGGAATACCTTCAAAATACATATGGTATTTGAAAAAAACATGTGAGCCATTTAAATCAAAATTCTCGTGTTCACAAAAGCTTTGATTTTGAATTTCCTTTTGCCCTTGCTGTTTATTCATTAAAGAAAATTATGAGGACTTTTGCCCAGGGAAATTGTTGGCTTAGTTAATTAAATCAATCCGGAATTGTCTGCATTTTTTGTAGCTCGAATTAACAAATTCCAATCAACATCCGTGATGTCGTTTTCAGTGAACTATATATTTTTTGCCACACTAAATAGTGGAATTAGGACTTCGCAATCAATGATTCGTAAAGGGTCTTTAAAACTGTTCGAACGGTATGCTCATACTGCTATAAAAGACATATTTTTCATTTGGGCACAATGGCCACCTTTTCGGCAGACCCATGGTTTAAAAAAGATTGCATAATAGTGCTGCTTTATTCTTGTTCAAATGGCAGTCGTACAATGTTTGCATATTATTTTAGGTGACACGGAACGGTCACTTCTCAAAGTTTGGGATATTGTTCGTTCAATTGCGCATATGCCTAGGGACAGGTCTTTTACGGTATTTGGTTGGTGGGAATTTGCCATCGAAAGGAAAAGCCTTTGAATTGACTCCACCTAACAATGCATATGAACCACTTAATTACATTTATCCGTATGTAGAAATTTGAATTACTTTGGCTAACAGTATTCTTTGAGAAGAGGGGACAGTTGATGATGTGAGATGAATAGTTGCTTTCTGCTATTTGGCTCTGCCCCTGACTCAGTCAAAGTGATTATTCTTGCACTCATTTTCATTAATGTTTCATATTTTTATAAACGAATGTTGCGTACTGGCTTATAACAACTTATTGTATTGTTCCTTAAAGTAAACTGTGCTCAGTTAGTTAAAGGAACCAGCGGCAAAATAGTTCCCACAGAAAAGCTAGCTTTAAAGTCAATTTTAGTTACTAGAAAGTTCATCCTCGAGAGCTTGCTATACTGATATGGCATACATGACTTCAAGGTCAACATCATTTATCTAGACTCACTAATCCATTATAAGTCCATACTTCCCCTACACACTGTTACGTACTCAAGCACACTATTTACTTTCAGGTTCGCAGGCTAGAAAACTCAATGTTTTCACAAACTTTGCGTAATAAATTTGGTATTCAAATACCTAAAAATGGCCGAATGTTCCTGTTTAACATCGATTTATCGTTGTTTTAATGTTTCTTTCATTTATTCGTTGTTTTTCAAAGTTATGTTTACGTTGTGAGATGTTGCATTCATTTACAGCCAGCATAATTTGATATTTACATTTTTTCTTTGCTTGCACATATTACTTCAAACTTGTAGGGAGTACTCAGTTAACTAAAACAACTAAAAGGGCAACAAAACATGAAACCAACTAAACTCAAACATAATGATTCAATGCAGAAGATATGTTTGGATTTTTCTTTTCTGTAAACCAGTAAGAATACCGAATGCAAGTTAATGCTCATCTCCCAAAGAGTTCGGAATTATCAGAGTGTCTAATGCTAACGGGTAGATCTCCAGTGCAAAAACTTATAATAAGCATCTGCATATATCATTTTAATAATTGCTATGACATAATGTTCCTTCTCGTTAAGGTAAAGTAAACATGTTCTTATCTGGTGCACTCCCGAGAACACACATGCTTGGAATATTTCAGTCCAACGGGCATTACTTCAAGAAAGATCCTAAAATTTGTATCCAGCTGTAGAGTATCACAACTGTAGCGCTGTCTATAATCTCATTTTGAGGTTACCATGCTTATTATTTAAGAAAATCACAATAACAG